TTATTTACATGTATATGAAACGGAACACATTTGTGTGTGCATTGAAAAACACAAGTGTGGAAAAGCTGGATCTTGATCACAAGTAGTCTTCTCTCACTCCTCTTCCACATGTCTCCTCTGTCAGGTTATTCCTAATTCTCTCAATGTTGCGGTCGATTTGCTTCACATTTTATCAGCATATCTGATTTTAAGGACGTGACCACATCACATTAATACCAGCACTGAGCAAAAGTGCATCCACAATATCATTATCCCTTCTATCAACACGGATGTCCAGCTTCAAGGAGAGGATATGTATCAGGGCATAATGACCACCAACCACGGACCCCCTTCTTATGAAGCCGGATTTCTACACAACGCCTCGGCAGGCACCTCTCCGGTTTATGTGCCCACCACCCGGGTCGTCACCCCCATGATCCCGGCGCTTCCTTACCTGCAGACGCCCGGTGCGTCGCAGCAGAGCAGCCCCGTGTCGAGCCACTCGGCCTGGGCACAACCGTGCGCAGACTCGGTGTCCTCATACAACCACTCCCCGGTGTCTCACTCTCCGCGCTTCGCCTTCTCCACCAGCCCGCCTATGTCCTCCGGGGTGGCCACGGCCCGGGACACAGCTGTCTCTTATAGCAGCCCCCTAAACATCTCTGCCAACGGGAGGGAGCACTATGGCGCCCGGGGCCTCAGCGGGTCGTATCACAGCCCGTACCCGGCTTACATGAGCCCGAACGTGGGTGGAACGTGGCCGGCGTCCCCCTTTGATAGCTCGGTCCTCCACGGTCTCCAAACCGGTGCTCCTCATTGCACAACACGGCACCCAAACATAGGTAAGCTACAGGAAAATATATGTACAATTGAAATATTTTTGTTTAACTGTAACGCTGCATATTTTTTTCCAGTAGCCTAAATGGTGTTTTTATTTATTTACATTGTGTTACAAGAAAGGTAAATCATGTTAAATGATAAACTGCATTGCTTGCAGGGAGACAAACAAGTGCAGATTATTAAAAGAAAGTAGCATATCTTTATATCTGTATTTATTTTTGTATTTGTTAACGATTGAAGGAGTTAAACTACATGAACGAGGTTAAAGGTTGCAAGGCCTGATTGAAAAATCAATGTACTTTTTTAAAATAGAGATCAACATGATTTTATAAACAATACTAACAATATAAATATTTACACGCCATAAAACTATATATATTATTCATGTTTCGTTTGCATGTGGCACAAATAATCTCTCAATCATGACCCATCAAGATTAAGGCATTATAATTTACAGGAACACCCGATTGCATGACTAATATTATTACAATAAAATAAGATTATACTTCCCAAATATTCTGGTATACAAAAATGAAATATGTCCTCAAATTAGGAGATAGGCTACATTTAAATTGAAGACCTTTTTGTTTTTTTAAAGATCTGATTATGAGAGACGGTTTTTGTTCATCGCATTTCTGCAGAACGAGCGTTTGTAAAAAAACTTCTAATTTAAATAAAGCAAGAAAGGTTTTGTTTTAAATTATTAATAACAAATTGAAAAAGTAAACGAATTAAAAAGGTTATAGACTGCCACGTGAGATCAACAACAACAAAAATACCGCAGAATAATTTATGGCTCTTTATCACCTTCAAATCGTGTCTGCTTGTTTCTTTAAGTAACACGATTTCTATTTCAGCAGTGTATTTCCATGACAGTTATTATGATATGGAAAGAGCCATTTTCTTTCATTTTTAATGATGCTGTGTTAAGCAATTTTCATTTTTGATAATGACGTTTGAGACTGCTTCGCTCTATCGCTGTATTATTTATGACCTTGTTATTATATGTGCTTACTAAATACACATTAGTTATTTAATAAACCTCGAATTTACATTTTACATCTTAAAATAGTAAACTAAGTCAAAACAAATGTATTGGGTGAAATGCATAGCTTCTTTAATTTGACAATAAAAGGGGTTATTAAGTTTAGCCTATTTTATTTATGAGCCATTTCAAACCAAGTGTTAACGTTAATTTCACTGTTTAATAAAACAACACAAAAGGCCAAATTGAGCAGCCTGTAATGACAATTAATTACCGTTTGGCTCACTTACTCAGGTTGACTTTTTGGCACATAAAATATCACAAAATAACATATTTATTTATGCAAATATTTTTGTTTATTTTCAAGGATCAAATTGCATTGAATGACTATATCCTATTTCATTTATTGACCTATTACATGTATTGACATACATCCAAATTGACTTAAGTGCAATCAAACATGAGAAAATCAGATACAGAATAGAAGGGAACCTGCAATGCTTTAGCCAAACCATTTGTTATTGCTGGTGAACTGGAGTTATAGAAATAATACTTTTGAAGTGATATAAATGAATATTTAACTGCACCTGAGTTGATTACACATTTCAAGTTTACGAGTTGTGTTTGGCCTCATAATTAGGTCAGATTTGATTTGAAGATATCTGATCTTGGTCAAGACTCAAATAATTAATTATTTTAGAGAAGTAACAGTGAATTTTTCTTTTAAAAAGCCTTCATGTAAATAGTAACTCCTATGTTTTGTCTGTGTTGGATGTGAATTTGGCCTTTAGTTGGAGGTTGAACTCTGGACTGTATCGCAACACATTGATTTAGCTTAGGTTGACATTTTTTCGATGACTTGCACCATAGTCTCGGTTAATAATCTTCATTTTGTTTATTTTACCTTCCATTATCTAGATTTTATTCAGAGTGATGGGCAATATTGGACGATATTTAATGTATTCATTCATTCATTTCATTATAATGTAATTTACACCGTGATCTGATGGGCTTGATCATAATTAGTCATATCAGATAGTATAGTATTTGTATCATATTAACAGAAGATGAATGGCTTATAACTTCCTCTCCGATTGCTCTTAAAATGCTTTGTTCGGTGATGATTTACATGGCCTAACACACGAGGTCATCTAATTTCAATGAAGAAAGAAAAAGATGAGCTGTTCAACAGTTTAACAGATAAAAGCATTGATCCATATTGACCTCTTCATCTGATTATAATCACACTTAACTCACAGATCAGTGTGTTTACTCATTGCTGATCTTTATAGATATGTCAGAAACCAGCTGCATTGTTTTACAATCACATCAAATTAAATCAAACCTCAGTGCTTGATGAGCCGTGCAAAGAAAGTTTCTATTGCTCTGTTGATGAAGGGGAAACTCCCTCAGCTGTGAAGTGGCGCTTTTAAAATTCAAATCATATAAATAAGTCATAGTGAGAGTTAGTTTAATGATCATTGAGCAATAGCCTGATATGTAGCCTTACTGAAAAACCTAAATTATATTGGGGATTATTTAAAAGTCAATTTAATCACTGATTTATTATTCCAGAGAAACATCTATATGACTTTAATGGATCACATTTTACATTCTTCCTTTATATAATCATTATTCTTCTTGAGTTTGATGACTTTAATAGAATAATTATATATGTTAACAACTATACCATTTCTCTGACAACAATATAAGCCTTTGTCATCAAATGGTATGAATACACATGAACATTTTAATTTATAAAACAATACATTTGTAATATTGCCTGGAACATAAAATACTTTTTTAATTATATGTTTTGCATGTTGTCTTTATATCCAATGTCAATAGTGTCAACAGACGGCAGATTGGGTAAAAAGTTCCAATCCAAGAACTTTTTTCCGTAGACATGGAGATTTTGGATGATTAAAATAACAGTGAATACTGTAGTATTGAATTAAAAATTATCTAAAAACGAACAATATGTGCAGAAAAAATATGAAAAGTAAAGAAGAACAAGAAAAAAATGTGAGGTCTGCTAAATAATTGGAGTATATTTGTAAAAGTACAATTATTGAGTTTTAAATGGTTGTCAAGTATGTTTTCAAATTGCTATCTTTAAAAATACAGAAGGACAAAGAAAGGGAAATGATCTTGGAAATGAGAAGTACACAGACAGACCTTAGATAAAGCAAACCCCTTGTGACTTTTAACAGTGTTTTATACAGTTCCCACTGTTCACTGTTTATTAAAATAATCAAGGTATAATCTGTACGGAGCAGTTGGTCTATGTGTCCCGGATGTTTCCACCTTTGTCCCCTTAAAGCCTCAGGGCCCCCTGATAAAGACACACAGTGACTTTTTCACAGTGGAGAAAATAACCTCCATTTAGACCTGGACACTGCAGTGTTTCCTTTGAGTTTTTGTCTTGTATTGGCTACCATTTCTGCCTGGCTCAAGGTTAGCTTGCCCTGCTTTCTCTATTTTGCTCTCAGCCTTGGAGGAGGCCTGCATTTGTATCAGCTGCACTCTGCAGCGAGGGAGGAGCAGACGGGGGCTAGATTTATGCTATCTCAAGACAAATAATTATGCACAGGGGAAAGTACAGTTGCAAACAACAATAACATCCAACTTAAATGTGACTGTTTTGCACATTTCCTGAATCTATTCTTAGCATAACCTCACATATTCTAACCTGTTCTGTCACTTTCACATATCAGATGGAGATATTCTTTCCCTGAATACCTAAGTGGTTCGTTAGACTCTATGACAGATTTATGAGATGTCATGTTAACTGAGAGAGATGTGTTAGACACAGAGTCTCTATTTGAATATGATGGAGCTCTATTGCGTCTCTATTTCCAGCCGACTCTTTATCTCAAGGGGAGCTATGAGATAAGGAGAGATTCCAGGCTGCTGTTGTGTGGGCCTGAAACACTGCGGCCTGCACCTCCTGCTGGTATAGAGAGGCCCCTGCATTTGATCATCAGGGTTTACAGTGGAGTAAAGTGTTCATTAAGATAGCTGGAAAAAAGTTTGTGTGGAATAAACTCAGCTGGAAATGAATTTATCAAAATCAGCTTTGTTTTGTATCATGAGATGGATATGTGCTACCTTATAAGGAGGTTATTGATAATAAATGTTTCTTTGCAATAGTTCATAATGGTAGAAGACACACTTACTGTAATATCTCTCCTAACTAAATTGGTAAAACAAATGTTTAACACATCAACTATTCTGAAAAGCAGCCATTGTTTCAACCTAACATAACCAGGATGTTTTTTTTTATTCAGTACAGATTGATGGTTTAAGACTTTCTTCTAGCTCATATTAAATTATATTGCTCTTGACGTGGAAAGTACCCATAAGTTTACAGAAGCAAATCACAGTTAGAGCCAGATCAGGTTTACGGGGAAAGAAAAAGATGTTTTGGCTTATCATATTTCTCTCTTGTCATCCTCCATCAGACCTGTTTGATGACTTTGCTGAGGGGCGAGAGTGTGTGAACTGCGGGGCGATGTCGACCCCCCTCTGGAGGCGGGATGGCACCGGCCACTACCTGTGCAATGCATGCGGACTGTACCATAAGATGAACGGCATCAACAGACCTCTCATCAAACCTCAAAGACGGCTGGTGGGTGACAGAGCAGCACTTTAGTATTCTGTACCAAACAGTGAAGCAATACATGGATGGATACATTCAAGTGTTCACTCTGGGAAAATACATGTATTATCTTTTTCCCCTGACATATTTTCAGTCTGCCTCGAGGAGGGTGGGCCTGTCCTGCACCAACTGTCACACCACCACCACCACACTGTGGCGACGAAACGCAGAGGGAGAGCCGGTCTGCAACGCCTGTGGCCTCTACATGAAACTCCATGGGGTGAGAGAGGGAAGAGGGGGAAGAAGTGCATCTCAAAAACTGCTGATATCAAGTCAAATTCCTAGTATGTGCGAACCTAACTGGCAATAAACCTGTTTCTGATTCTGATTCCTATATAAATAGTTAAACCCTTTTGATCTTGAATTTAAAGGTTCATCTTCAATGTATTAACCTTTATTCTACACCATCCTCCAAGATAGTTCCACTACTCTTATTTCAGTCTGCTGTTGTTGACTAATGGTTATTCCTTTGTCTTGGTGTCCTGACAGGTAGCAAGACCCCTGGCTATGAAGAAAGAGGGGATCCAGACCCGCAAACGCAAACCTAAGAGCCTCAACAAGCCCCAAACTGGTGAGCTTCAAAACCACATTCTTACATTTGTGCAGACATGGTGATAGCTGTTACAATGGCAGGAGCTCAAGACTTAGGCCCATTTCCATGCTCATACTGTCTGTGAATGTATCATGACGTTAGTTCTGGTGCTCCACAGGGACCCCAGGCAGCGAGGGGTCTCCCATCACAACCAGCAGCACTCCCCGGGCCTCCAGCACCACTGAGGAGCCTCGGCAGATAAAGACGGAGCCGGAAACCCACAGCTTGTACTCACACCACGGCTCACACGCACAGGTAAGACACAGTTTTAAAAAATCTCAGAGAATATTAAGATCAAATAGTTGTTAGAGTTGGTGGTTGTGATGAAAAAGAGGCTAATCAGATAAAAAAAACGGGATCATATCACCTAAAGGCCAAGGTCTAATATGGCCTATAAGGAACAGAGTTAAACCAATGTTCAACACATCAACCCAGATTCTACAGCATTGGCATATTTTGTTATGTTTTAAAACGTTTTTCTCCCCCATGATTAAAAAAAGGTTAAAGTCTCTGACAGACTGCCAACATAAGAAATCTGCAAGGCCTTCTCACCATTTCCTTCTGTATCCCTCTAGATTTCAGCCCTGCCAGCCTACATGACAGCTCAAAGTGGGGCCACTCCTCTCAAGATGTCCCCTGGGGGCCACGGTGGGTCTTCTGTCTCCAAAGCTGAGCCCTGGAACAACCTAATCCTGGCTTAGAAGAACCACAACCTGGCACGCATCTCAAACCAATCTATCTAGCGATTAAACTCTTCTGAGGGATCAGAGCGCTCTGTATGCAGATGTTTGTGCAGCAGACACACCGCACAAGTCACTGGGACAAACATGTGGGCGCCAAAAAAGAAATGGAGATCTTAAACAGAACTGCTCAGATACTGTATGTTTACTCACAGCAATCGAGGGACTTTTTGGAGTTTGTTAAAGAGCAGCGCCGCGATCAGACACACAAAACTCTTGAACTCTAAGAACTGTAACATGTACATGCTTCTCTACCCTCCCAGTGAAGTTGCTTTAAATGATAGATACTGTAACATAATCCAATAACAATTAACAGTAATGGTCAGACTTTATCTTATTGAGGTCTTTTTATTTCAATACTTTCTTTTCATTTTCATGTTGTTATTGACAATTTGCCTTAAAACGATGGACATACACAACATGTAAAGAATAACAGAAGGTAGCACCATGGAGGAGATGTGTAATAAAGGGTCAGTTCACAATAATACCAAAAAACGAAATTATAATTTTTTTCTGAAATGCCACAACAATAGAATCCAGTTAAATTAATAATACATTTCAAAACCTCAAAAGCTACATCTCTTTACAGAGCAAACAATGTTCTATGGGCTCAGAACAGTCTCATAATACACACATGCACACAGAAGGATTCAAACTTGTATGATCCGCAAAAGGATTACTTGTGTTTTTCAATGCACACACAAGTGTTCCGTTTCATACATGTAAATAAAATCCAAATAGGCCTACAGAAAAAAGTTTTCATATGCCCACATTTTTTTAAATCCCTGAACCTGAAACACAAACCGCTTTCTATGCATGGATCGCTGTGCATTCTCGTGTGGGTTCGCGCCCCCACGAGGGTATGATTTATTGCGTTCATGACACTTATTATGCATTTTGCGCTGTCCGGTCAGCTCGCTAAACAGAGGGCGGAGCTTCAGGTGATCATGAAGAGCTGCGTGTCTCCATCAGACTCAGCAGCTGATCTGATCTCTATTTCGCGTCCGGTTATACTTAACTCGCGTTTATGTCCATATCGATCAGATCCAGCTCTCCTGATCGGCCTTTATAGAGAGCACCGATCAAACTATTAAGAGTGAATATCGGCCGATAATGACCGGCGGGGCTCCCCCCCTCGTTGACAGTTCACTGTCTAGCACTGGCTTCGTAGTGCACTGATCGATTAGACTAAGCTAACCTTAATAATATAAAGGCTTGTATTTGTGTGCATTTCCTGTTCGGAAAGTGGCAATGTACTGAGAGTGGAGGTGTCCTGAGATTAGCTCCATGGTCATGGACCTGTCAGCTCCGGACTGCGCAAAATGCGTAGGCCTACATGAAGCGCTACGTCATGAACGCAAGAAATCTACCATCGTGGGGGCGCGCTCATGTGATTGGCTTAGAATTGAGGAGACATCTGATTGGCTATAGATAGAAAACATTACAAATACGAATCGGGTGACTGTCAGGGGAGTCTCAAAAAACCCACACACGAATGCAAAGCGATCCGTGCACAGAAAGCGGTTTGTGTTTGCAGGTTCAGAGGTTTTAAACGGAAAACAAATATGTAAGGATCAAAAATACATATGTAAAACCTTTTTCATCCGGAAATACAATTGTGAATCCTTTTGTGGATCATGAAATACAAGTGTGAATCCTTCTGTGTGCATGTGTGTATTTAGACTGTTCTGAGCCATAATGTTCAGGTTACTTAATAATCCTCATTGATTACACGGATTTAAATGTGATACCAATATTTGTAATCCACATGCATAATTTCACAGTGCATTTAAATCTACAAAGAAGCTATTCTGTAGCATTAAACCTACTGTAACTTTAAGAAAATTGCTCAAGATATCCATCACTCCCCACCAGAGAAAGGATTTTATTAGGCCAGTGCAATAGAAGAAGCTCCCTGGTTGCTTCTCGTTTCTTGATCAGTTGCCTGAACTGTGTGCCTTTTGATTTAAAGTGTAAAAAACACATGTCAGTATTGACACCGCTTTGAAAGAATACATGAGAAACTACCTATTGCTATGTCGCACGTTCTGAATATGGCACATAGCTCCCTCTGCTGACACAAGAGCAGATGTGCATCCGTAAGAAAACTTTAATACCTGAGGGCCTCAAAAAAAGAAAAATATCTGGTAGATAGTATTTATTATTAAAGGCTCAACCCCAAACCTAAAAATCATTTAATTATCATGTGTTAGCTGAAGGTTGTTTGATTTTGTGACGGCTTATTGTATCAAGAATGTACAGATTATTATAAATACTCAATGCTTTAATTTGCTTGCATTCTTACAAGCATGGGGGGGTAACGTGTAAATGTGGGATATCATCACATGTAATTACCAACAAATATATGAGCATATATGTGAAAACTCCACTCCAGTATAATTTTAATACACCATTTGTGATATATTGTAAGTAAAGACACAATGAGAGACGGACATGTGTGCACTAACACTCTGATGCCCTTCCTCTGTGTGCAACTGTAGCTCTACTGAGAAAGCTAATAAAGACCAAGCATTTTGACAGAAAACCAATGGTTTGTATGATGTAATCGTTTTGGGTATATCATTCTACTGAAAAAAAAATATTTGACATCTAGTCTTAGTGACTTCCTCTTCATCTTGGCGAAGTTTAGTCATTGGGGAACTTGTGAAGCTTCTTCTGGAAACTGTATCCTCCCAATTTGTAAGTATTCTTTTGTGAAGCTTACAACATCTTTGATAAAAAGCTGCACAGTGCATTGATTGAAGTCCTCAGTCAGCTTCTCCCTGATGAACTTAGCATATTTGTCCTGCACCATCTCCGTCCAACACTGTTGAAATGTGAGCCTTATTTGACCCTGCTTGGCATCAGACATCTGTGAGCTAAAAGCGTACTCAAATGCAAAAGTAGGTCCTTTTCTTAAATGTTCCTCCAAACTTTCTTTTTTGTCTGGGAGCAGGACTTGTGCAGCTTTGATCATTCTGTTTAGCTCCTGAATGTCTTTCTCCTCTTCTGGTTTGCCGTCAAAAATACTATGCATTCTTTTAAAGCTCTTGCAGCCCTGGTCTTGCACGGTGTTTATAAAAGCCAAATCTGCAGATCTCAGGAGGCGTTTCACAGCAGAAAACACATTTTCACACGCAGGATTAAGATCAGTCTCTTCAGCTGCTTTCACATAGCTCTCATAGTCCTCAGTCTGATCGATACAGTCCACTTGGCTGAAGTGAATATCCCTGAAGACATTTTCTTTATTTCCTTTGAAGCCCCAACATTTCACGTAACCAATATGAGTCTTCACTCGATACACAGTCCACCACTCCTTAGCTTTCTGAACCAAATTTAGCATGCACGCATCTGTATTTCTAGCCAAACAGGGGCTGTTCTTGGTGAAAACATACACCTTCCCGCCTTCTGAGGCAGCCTCTGACTCCAGAAGTTCCTGGGTTTGTTTGATTATGAAGTCCTCGCTGTGTTTTCCCTTGTTGTACTTTGGATAGAAAGGTCCATACATAATAATCTCCTCCTGTTTCTCAATGACAGCCCATGAATGCTGCTTGTCCACTGCACCACATTCCTCTGTGATGTTGTGCTGAAACTCCAAAAATGTCTTGTTGATTGATTTGTCGAGTAAGACGTGATCAGTGGCTTGTTTGAACTTGAGATGCAACAACAATTTCTTTACAGAGGTTTGTGTGTCAGCCCAGGACAATATGTCACCCAAGAAGCTCTTAGTATCAGTCAGGTTTTTTGTCGCTACATTCACACAGTCTTCAGGTGTGCAGAAGGGGCCACAGCTTGTCCTGTAAGACATGATATCTCACTGTATGGCATACAAGTCTGGGTGAATAACACCAACATTGTGATAACTGGGAACTGGGGCGTATTGTTTGTAAATACACACTAAAATTGACTACTATTGACACTATAATTATTCATATTTAAATCAGGTGTCTTATGATGAGAATTCTGTTGTTAAATTACTATTGTATTTACTTTTCTAACAAATAGTTGGACATTTGGGAAATAAATTGATTTGCTTTCTTGCAGAGATTAAGACAAGAAGATAGAAAACCCTCATGCCTGTCCAATAAATCTACAGCAAGTCAGTTTAGCATAAAAACTGCAAACAGGGGGAAGTGCCAACCTGGCCCTGTCTAAAAAGTAACAAAACCCACCTCTTTATTTTTAAAATGAACACATCATATTTTGTGTTCAATTGGAACAAATATTAAATTTAAAGCAGATTTTGTTACCTTTGGACAGAGTCACACTCGTGTCTACGCTGTTTCCAGTCTAAGCATCTAACAGGCTGCAATATATAGATTATTTTTTGATGGACAATAATGATCATCTAACTCTGAATATATTGTTGAAATCAACAATGATCTCCATGGTCATTAATAAACCATATTAAAAAAAGTTTCCTATTTCAATGAATAATCCACCTCTACAATAAATGAATATTTCACCATATGAATAGCCTACTGTCCGACTTGTGAATTGTAAATATGAAACAGATCTCTTTAAATTTATTTAAAATGCTTTCAGAAGGATTGTGGTTAAGGTGTGGTGATTTAAATACAGTAGTGAAACATAATGACACACATCAAATAAAGGGATGCGACATGTGGAAGGCCTATGTTGCCATAACAACGATGTGGCATACCAAGAGGAATTGAAAATGTCCCCTGAAATACCCTTTGTCCTCAACAACTCAGACGCATGAATAAACCTGTGACATTCCTGTTGCAACACCTCAAGAAAACATTTCCACGACCCAGATTACATTTATATATTCTGTCAGCATTTACTGTCTGTCATGCCTGTCTGTACGTGTGTCAGCCTCATATCTGGCCAGAGTTTTGAGACATTTCTTTTTGCACATGGGAAGCTCCTTTGCATATCCATTACACAGAGGTCGTTTACGGCTAACTCTGAAACAGAAAACAGGAATATCATCATGGGATCAGATTACAGTGTATGTACGGTGGCTGTTCGAATAAAACAAATTCAGTTTGACTTCTATGGATAACAATAGTTTATGTCTTTGCTAAAAGATAAAAAAAAATGTAAGAGTGTTTCAGTGTTACGAACTCAGACACTTAGGATGTAGGACCCAATTGTATGACCCGGGAGACAGAGGTAATGTATTGGTAAGATACTTTATTTTTCCAAAATCCAGCAAGATGAACAACAACAAAAAAGGTCACTATCAAATCTCAAGTTGAAATGACAAAAATAGAGAACACAATGAAAGCGCTCACGTAGTGAGGAACCAAAACTTTTCAAGAGCACAGAGAGCATAGACCTGACCATAGCAAGAGACAAGACGAACTGACACTGAACACTGGGAGACAGGGGAATTTAAACACATGACAACAAGACACAGGTGAAAACAATCAGGGGCGGGGCTGGTGATGATGAGCACAGGAGACACACAAGGGGTACAGGTGAACACAATCAGACACACCAGGGAAACTAACGACAGGGAGGAAAACACAGGGAGAAGGACCAGACAATATACAAGGAGGAAAACATGACAGGGAGAACAGAACAGCAAAAAAAACATTACCAGACATACAAAACTAAAAACGTGACAAAACACAAGAATCGTGACATTCAGCCGTTCCACCAAAATCAAATCAAATCAAGTTTTATTTATAAATCACATTTAAAAGCGATTTTTGGTCAAGACAAAGTGCTGTACAGTACATGTAATAAAAACACATTACTACAATCACAATAAAAGATAATAAATTACAACAGATATAAAAATATAAAAAAATAAAATGCCAAAGTATAAAATGTAAAATGCCAAAGAGAAGTACAACTCTCAAGATACAAGAACATGTCCTTTCCCCTCTCTTTTAGGTCATATTATGTGAAAGTGTACTCACATAGGAAGTTCCATCATCCGTCCAGGAGGTTTTCAGGTTAAATGAGTCCTCCTCTTTTCGAGTCGTTCATTAAGTTGTCTCCTTATTACAAAGTAAAATGCTCTGACAAAGTGTCACCTCCGACAGGTGAACAGTTGCACTCCCAACATGTTTACTTAAACAACAGTTTAAGAGCTTTGAACAGTAAGCTCCTCCCTTTGCTCACCTGATGATCCCTGCACATTGTTTATTTAGTATTACCAAGATGTGTGTCATCAACTGTCTTGCGGCATCCTAGGACGCTCTTTTTCAAGTTTAGCCAGTTCATAGAAGTGATAAATCAAAAATGATAACTGTAATCACATAAATAAAAAGAGTAGAAGCCGAACTGGATTGTATGAGATGCTTGTTGATCATTTATTTTTGTATAGTTAATTCCTGGAAGCTGCCACAAGTGACACACATACTGGTTTGAGGCAGAATGAGTCCTTGGTTCACATGGTTGAAAAAGTCCATGAACCTTAATGACCTGTGCGGTTGTGTATATTATAAACATCTGACACAGTAGAAGAGCATCTCTTATGAAGCATTTTGTAAGTATTACATCATTTTAAAGTTTATTAATACATATAATAGTCTGTAAAATAAATGAAACTTTATTTAGAAAAATGTGTTATCTTTTTCCCTTTATTCTTTGTGTTTAAAAGACTTGTCTGAAGAACTATCTCTTCTTTGACTGTGATGAATAAAGTATGCGTTCAATAACCAGGCTCTTGATCATAATCTTTACTGCATATGTGTGCAGTAAAGAATTGTAATAACTCTCCTTGTGGTTTCTAGGAAATATAAACATGCACAGACAGTGTTGTGTAGGTGTGAGCCATGCAAAGTAACACGTTATAGCACATCTGTGTGTGTTTCAATACAGGATATTTTATCAATTAAAACAAATTAAAATAATCATGGCCATATTATTCATCATGGCTTTCAGGGTGCCCATAGGATGAATCCTACTGACTTCTGTGGTGATCCCGTGACTTTTTCTCTCTTGCAACACAGTGGAGATAATAATAATAATAGATTTATTTTGTTAGCGCTTTTACAGGTGCTCAAAGTCACTTTACAAAGATAGTGAAAAGAAAAGAACAACAAACAAATAGTTAAAGTCAAATTAAAATCAAGCAATACACAAATACTCACACATTAAAATCCAGATTGAAGAGGTGAGTTTTTTGAAGGTGGTGAGGTCAGTGCAGTCTCTGATGGGTTGGGGGAGTGAGTTCCAGAGGGAGGGGGCAGCGACGGAGAAGGCTCTGTCCCCCCAGGTCCGGTGCTTGGTGCGGGTGGGGATGGATAGGAGGTTGGCTTCTGATGAGCGGAGGCAGCGGGAAGGGGTGTGGTGTTGCAGCAGGTCTGTGTGGTGGGGGGGGGGATTGATTGTTGAGGGCTTTGTGAGTTATGAGCAGGACTTTGAAGTCGATTATTTGACGGACGGGGAGCCAGTGGAGGTTCTGGAGGATGTGAGTGATGTGGTCTTGGGAGCGGGTGTGGGTGAGGAGGCGGGCAGCAGAGTTCTGGATATATTGGAGTTTATTGAGGAGGTTGGATGGTAGGTATGCCGTAGAGCAGGGGTGTCAAACTCAAGGCCCGGGGGCCAAATCCGGCCCGCGACTTCATTGTATGTGGCCCCACAAGAGCTTGCAAAGAATATAATATGTTTATTA